GGCATTGACACTTCTTTTTCATGCACTGTACTTACTGGACTGTTAACGCCTGGAACTCAGGAATTCTGTGTGTAGATATCTAACAAGAATGGGACTTTATAGACATAATTTATACACCCTAACGTGTACTAGTGTGAGGTTTATGGCTGGATGCGTTTGCCGTGTGTATCCCCAGATCAAGTACAGAACGTTTCCTGATGGCTCCTTCACACCCCTTCCCAACTAGTTTTCCCTTAGAGGCCGTCGGCACTCTGGTACCTAGCATCAACGATTCCTTGTGCCCATTCTTGAACTTCATCTCTAAGGAGTCACAGTGTTTGTATAGAAACCAAATTCCTGGAGCCTGACAGAGTGTCTGGCACATGGCAGGTACTGTATGCCACATGTAAGAAAGTCTTGCTTCTTAAACTACTAGGAGAGCGCATTAGTCCTGTGCAGAAACAGGCTGTGTGTGGGTGCTTAATGACCTGTCCAGGGCACAAGGCCAATGACATCACCGGTACTGGGCCAGCTCAGGCTCCCCCATTCTGATCCAAAGCTCCCGCCCCGCTGGCAGCTCCTCTCTGGGCTCCCTTTAATGAGCTGGTCTCACGATCCTGGGCAGGCAGTGCCCCCTGCTGCCTGCAGACCTGACCCTAGCCAGGCTCTCCTCTGTGGGATGACAGGATCACACAGAATTGGAACCCAGTGCAGCCACAGGCACAAGGCAGGAGCTTGTGAGATGAAAGTCACCTGACATTTTATTTTCCTTTGAAAAGAGGTTTTCCTAAGCTTTAGGGGCTCTCCCTCTCCAGAATAACCGACCAAGGGAGAAGAGTGCGGCTCTTTTTGGTGGAGCTCTGCTGCCCCCAGGTGGGTAGATGGGGACACTGCCACAGAGCAGGACATCCAAACCTGCCGCTTTTGGCTCTTTCCTCTTTCCGGTCTCAGGTTCTGTGGTTTGTCTCCTGCAGAATCCTGGTGTACGGGTCCCTGAGAGGCAGATGTTCATTAGGGGTACCACCCAGCCCTTCATTCTCAGCCTGGAGTGGAAGCCAGTGAGTGTGGGGCTGCTGGTGGGAATATGGCCCTTGGAGAGCCAGCCCCAGCCATGTATGGGCTGAGGTGGCCCCACATCCCTCCTGCCGGCGGAGGGGTGGGCTAGAGCTAAGTTTTGAAGGTCTGTCCTGTACTTAGTGTCTAATAAAGTCTGATCGTAGGGCAGCAGCAATGGGGTGAGGGAGGTTTCTCAGCAGTAGTACCTACCCTGCCTGCTTCTCAGCAGCGTGGGTGTAAATGAGCAGAGGGGCCTGCCTGCCCTTCCACTGTGGTTTGGTGGCCTTCTTGTTGCACCTGTGGCTGGGTGGCGGTGTAACGGCTCAGCCTGCCTCCTCTTGGCACGTGGCCTGGGCTGATGCTATCTCTAACTCTGTATTTTTAACTTTTCTTTCCAGAGGATGTGGCTTCTGCGGGAAAGCTTCAAAGGGTGGCCTATTTGCCCCTGTCAGCAACCATGACGTCATGGAAACGGGAGGGGGCCGCCCGACCCCAACACCTGGAGGGAAGTGGAGACGTTTCCACTTCCTGTTCTACTTCTGGCTACTGACTCAATGTCTGACCTGCTTATTAATTTCAAAGCGCAGCTCAGTGTGTACACTTAGAGGAAACCCTGTGCATCTCTGCATCTGTGTGAAAGGGGGTCTGAAGCCCACCTTGTTTCCCGGGCGGCCTTACACCGAGTCCTGTAGCCCTCAGCGATCAGCGTATCCATTAGTGAGAAGGAGCGGCCGAGCTGGCTGCCCCTACCCTTGGTCGGAGAAAGTAGGTTGGAGATGGGGCTTAGGACGGGTCACGGCCAGAACATTAAAAGAGATGTCAAAGCGACCTTGGCGTGGTCACATGTGACTGGAGCTCAGACTTCCGGAAGCCCGTGTGCTTCCCGGAGTAGGCGGCTCTTAGGCTTTATTGATGGATGAGTACCTGCCTGGGGTTCCTTTGGCCAAGGCGGCCACCACCCAGGGCTCGCTTTTTCTGATAGTTCCTTCCAGGTACTGTTAGCTTTTAGTAAAATGAAAACAGCAGCTCACCCGGCTATTAACCTATTAATCTCCACTTTCCTTTCTCCTGTGCTCCTACCCCTCACTCTCAGGTCCCTCTCCAGGGCCTCATAGTGTCAGCCGTTCATGCTTCATTTGGTGGCGTGTGCTGTGTGCCAGGCACTGTGCAAGCTACTGGGAACTGGGGGATAAGCAAGGCACACTTTTTATCCCGAGTGCTCATTTGAGCCAACTTCCTTGCTGAGATGTTACTCGGCAATAATGATATCATCTGGTTTTACAGATGAAGCAAACAAGTAACAATCTTCTAAGATTCAGATGGCTGCCCCTTCCGTGGTGGGCAACAGCTTAGGACTACTCTGTTGGATCGGGAGACCCCACCAATGGTCATAAAACACACACACGCCTGTTCCTTTCCTGCCGGGCCTGTGGCTCTATGTGCTCTCAGCAGCCCTCTGAGGGAAGTTTCAGACTGCCCTGCCATGTCTTAGGCCTGGGTCATGGTGGGTCATTTGGTCTATTTTTCTTTCTCCTGGGCTTTAGAGGCAGTAGGGAATCTGTCAGAGAAGTCCACTCTACAGCTAGCTCTGGTAGTACATTTGCTACTGGGATGTCAGCCCTTTCTTTTTGGGCCGGCGTCCAGGGCGGTCAGGCTGCGGGTGCAGTCCCTGACCTTGTCTCACAGGACTGGGGCTCTTCAGGACCATGTCTCCAGATTTCCTCAGTGGCCTCTTTCCAGGCTGAATGATGCCCAGCTCCAGAGCTAGCTTTCCCAGTGGGCACAGAAATCCTTCTCTTGGGCTTTTCCACAGGCCACTTTAATTCCCTTTGACATCCCAGGCGGGGTCTGGAGTCGGATGTGAATGGTCGGAGGCGCATAAAGTACTTGCCCGTGCCCCCACACTCCTTTGCCCTTGACCTATGTGTTCCTGGTCCAGCCCTCTGGCCTTAGCCCTCACTGGCCTTTGGCTCAACAGCTTCAGACATGAGGGAAGGTTCTTGCTGGGCTGGAGGAACCCTAGTTTTAGATGGAAATTTCTTATGGAGCGGGGAGCTGATCCTGCTCTCCTGTTGGCCTCTCCCTTGCCGGGCTGTGCCTTTGGGTTGGCCTTAAGAGGAGGAAGCCTTATTTTCTGATGGATGTGGGTGGATTCCCAGCCTGTGCTGCATCTCCTCTTTTGTGTTGTTAGGTGGCTTCCGGGCCCCAGTGGCCACTGGCCCTACCACCTGGAGGAATAGGGCTGGTGTGACTCCACCGGCTCCCTCGGGCCTTTTTCAGTCTGGGCCTCCCCAAAGGTGCACGAGGGGTCTGTCTTTGGTCTCCTCACTGTCTTCTAGCTCTGCCCTCTCTCTGCCTGGGTCCCCATGTCCCCTTCGACTTTAGCATGGCTGAAGCCAGCTCTCAGAACAGACCTTGTGCAGTCTT